CTCATTCAAATTGAGATTGACCGCATTGATGTTAACAGCCCCCAAGTGTTGCAGGATCTCGATAATATGAAGAAGTTGATGCCTGTTAGTAAGGCAGATCTGTTGGCTAAGACTCATCACCTAATCTATCATTTTGGCGCTCCCCGTGTCATTGATCAACTCATTAACATACAAATCTCCTCCACGCTGCTGGACAATATGTCGAATTCATCGGATATCTCACCCGACAAGGATTTTGGAGGGAAGCAAACCGAAGGAAATCAGCATGGTAGAAGTAAACAAGTTGCTGGTATGCAATTCTCTGATGATTTTTGGTTCTTATCATGGTGAGGATGATGGTTGGATGAACTCTGGCGGGGTTTGATGCTTCCGACGAGTTTGTGTTGATACTATTCCAGGAAATGGTTTTGGTAATTAGCATTTTAATTACCAGTTACTTCTGAACCTTGCTGCTGCTCTTGTTCCCAATGGTAGTGGTGATAATTGGACTGTTGAAGAAATCTATGTTCTGTTGCTTGCTTTCCAAGTCGAAAATTGTGCTAGAAGTTTTGTCAAGATTAAGGACAGTTACTTTGCTCGATCGACCAGGACTTCCAACCTTTCGTTGCATACTAGTCACGAGGATTGGGATACATTTGAATTAGCTCCCGTAGGAGAGCAGCAATATGATTAGGAAAACTGTTGATCTCATCCTCTTCCTTAGTCCTCAGCTTTTGCCAACGAGTTTGAAAAGCACATGGAGTCCTGGTTGATCGAGCAAAGTAACTGTCCCTAATCTTGGCAAAATTTCTAGGACAATTCTCGACTTGGACAGCAAACAACAGAACATAGGTTTCTTCAACAGTCCAATTATCACCACTATCACTGGGAACAAGAGTAGCAGCTAGGTTCGGAAGTAACTGGTAATTAAAATGCTGATTACCAAAACCATTTCCTGGAATATTATCAACAAACTCGTAGAAAGCATCAAAACCCCCGCCAGGGTTCATCCAACCATCATCCTCACCATGATAAGAACCAAAGAAATCATAAGAGAATTGCATACCAGCAACTTGTTTACTACTACCATGCTGATTTCCTTCAGTTTGCATCCCAACAAAAGCCTTGTCGGCTAAGATAGCTGATGGATCCTGCATATTGTCCAGCATCGCGGGGGAGATTGGAATGCTAAGGAGTTCATCAATGGCAGAGGGAGCGTCAAAAGGATAGCTAAGGTCCTTAATCTTAGCCAACAGATCTGCCTCTCTAACAGACATCAACTTCTTCATATTATCGAGATTCTGCAACACTGAGGACTATCTGCATCAATGCGGTTAATCTCTGATTGGATGACACCAGCTTTCGGGGCTATTTGCGCGACTCTTCCCATATCCATCATCCGGGGCTCGATGAGTAATTTAATCTTGACCACTCATAATATTTTTTTTTTGGAAAACTTAATATAGTAATTATTATTATACCGTTCTGTCACCTTTAATTTCGATATTTGCGCGTGAGGTTGTTTGGAAATAGTTTTATTTTGGGAAAAGCATCAAAATCGCATATAAATCTACTTCCTGCAATTTTTTTTTAAAACCTATAAAATTAAAAATTCGGAACACTCAATATCAAGTTTCCTTTTTACCTAAATACTGAGTGGCTGCCGGGGAAGCAATTTAAAATAGTTTTTTTGGGTGTTATCTTAATTATAAGTCCAACGAAAGGTTGGAAGAAGATTCAAGACGTAGAAGAATAATACTTTGTTTCTGGTTTCTGTTCGGATATTTTGGAACTATGTTTTTAGGGCAAATTTCTCTTGGATTATGACATGAACTAGCTCAGATTTCTGAATTGAACAATTTCAGTTTCCATGCCAATGAATTGAATCAAAATGACAGAAGCTTGGCTTTGTTTTTTTTTACCAACCTGAGCTTTCTGTTGTCTACTTGACTAGTTAGAGACTTTCATCACTGAATTGAGGGTAAGCTAAGCTATGTCGTCCCCAGTACAGTAGTACACTCCTTTCTTCTACTGTAGACATATGCAAAAATAATGGCAAAACCAGACTACTGGACGCCATCTCTCTAGCTTGGTTCTCTCAACAGAGGAACAAGAAGACCAATTTTTTTACAACGACTCACAAATCAATGGACTTCAAAGCAACACCCCTTGCCATTAAGGGGGTATATATCAAAATCTACCAAAACTATCGATCCTTACTATTTGATCTGTCTAGTCTATCTATAATGCCAAGAACAAGGAGCCTGAAAACTAACCAAACCATTAAGTATGAAAAACCCAAAATCAAAAACCAAATCCTAAAAACCAAAACCATTAAACCTCTTATTGGTTTTTGGTTGCCAAAAACCAATAAGAGGTTTAATGGTTTTGGTTTTGGTTTGGATAACCAAAAAACCAACATGTACTCATACACTCATATTTATTCTCATTTCCCTCCTTTTTATTGAATAAACGTCATGATAATGGTAAATGATCATCACAAATTATTGGTTGGCATGCGTGTCAAAAGAAACAAAAAAAAATTTTGTTGATAAATAATTTTATTCTTATTGGTTTCTTAATGGTTTCTATTGGTTTTTCGGTTTTAACCAAACCAAAACCATTAAGTTGCTTATTGGTTTAAAATCGAAAAACTGAAACCATTAACTTTCCAATCGGTTTGACTCAAACCAAAGGGCCGGCTCGAGGATTATATTAGGAGAAGCATCAAAGCATCAACAAAAGCAATGTGAGAGTAAGTAACACAAGGTTTCAACGAGATCTACCTATAGCTTTCACGTTTTCCCCTTTATAATTAGTCAAAAGAAGTGAGGGAGGGGATTCTTTACTTTTCCCTTTCGGTACAAAATCCCATGATCACTTGATTCAACACATTTTGTGGAACAAAATCCCATGCCCTATATATATTTGGATCATATATATATGATAATTTCAATCCAATGTAATATTCTTTGCCAATTGGAGGGTGGGAAAAGTTATTAGCTACTTGACTTCTTCTACTAAGCTCCGACGAGTAAAATGTGACTCGTTCCTGTTTTCAATCTTTTTTTTATATAACTGTATTCTGATTATTTCACCGTTTTCAAACATCTAGACACTGTATGACTTTTACATTCGACCTAAATAACATATCAAGACAAATAAACGGACCGATTCTAACTTACATCTCGAACCAATTAATCGAAACAAGCCAACTTACATCATTATCATCCTCGAATTTGAAATGCCACTAGCGATAGTTTTTTTAAAAGTGATAGTTAATGGTAAGACATCTAACAGCAGATTAAGAGCATAAGAACCATGGCCTGATCCAGGGCGGCAGAATCATGCCCCAACCCATTTTTCCCCCTCCAACTCTGTAATTACCACCAAAATTATTGTTGTATTTTTAATTGTTTGCATGATTGTAATAATAGATCTAAAATCGATATTATATTAATACGATTGTAATTGAAGTTACATGATTGCAATAGTATATCTAAACTGTATATTATATTAATATATGATTGTAATACTAATAATAGAGATCAAATATTGGTGGGTTCTCTCGTCAAGTAAAAAAAAAAAAAAATCCAGTACTGTTTTTGTTTTGTTTTGACATTATGAATCAAAAGGGAAAATTACAAAACAAGACTTCACAGTTACACGGCGTCTACTTATTTATTTATTCATTGATTTGTTTTTGCTGATTGAATATTCTGTCGACGTTGAATTTAAGCTGTGGACTTCGGTTTCTACCTCACAACCATAATAGTAATAAATAACTGAAATTTCCAAGAAAGAGAGCACATCAGTACGCTGTTGAGTTAACTGCAGAATTTGATTGCTTGAGAAATGTATGCACACTCAGAAGAATTAATAGGCGCTAATATGGTTCTGAACCTCTAGAATTAGTCCCATCATTTACGGCCTTTAATCGAATACACTAATGATACTAATTAACATGATCCTACGTGTTATAATTATATGTAAATTGAGACATGGCGAATGCAGTTAATAAAGTGAAATGCTTATGTTTCGTCGAACGGGTTATTGTAAGAAGCAGTTGATTAGTTAAGAAACGATGACTAATAAGGATTCAGAGTAAGTTACAAATATGAGATAACATTGATTCAATTAAAGTGTGTCACGTAACCGTTTCTTCGATCAGAGGCGACACACGTGGGTAAAAGGGCTAAAATGGTTTTTGTAGCGACACGAGTGATCATCAACTCAATATGTGTAACATAATGTGACATCATACAGTCGATGGCGTATCCATTGGTGGGATTAAGACAACAAACCTGAACACATCAAAGAGCAGAGCACAATCTTTGGGTTGAGTTGGTTGGGTCCACAAAAATCTAAATATTGATCGATACCGGAAAGGAGAAAAATAACACGTGTCTGATGCAACCAATATACTTCAAAAGCACCGATCTCTAATATAGCTTATATAGGCTCATCGATTCATCGACCAATCATATCACACACGAGAGAGTTATTGCTCTTAAAGATCGATTAAATTCACCATAACTTTACCAAACAGCCGATTTTTTTTAAGTTCTCGATAAAAAATGAACTTACAAATTTATCGATTAGTTATCAATCAATCACAATATCTATAATTTTTTAGGTAAAAAACTGCATAATTCTCTTAAAAAAACGTTACTTTGACATCCCAAGTCCACCTCCCAAATATTTTCCCAAAACCTCAAAACGCAAATTAGGAAATAAAGTTAATTGATATTATTCTCCCACGAGGAGTTACCAAGGAATCACGAAATAAAAAGGAAAGAAGCCAAGGAATAAAATGACCTGATTTTGGTAAATAATTGAAACAAAATAATCATATTACCAAATAAGCGGAAAAAAATGGACCCAGCCAGAGTCCCACACAAAACATTACCAGTACTCGAAATCCCCATTTTGCCCTCTCCTCTTTCCACAAATCCCTAAACCCTCCACTTCCTTACGTATATAAATAAATCCCCTTCTCCTCCATTCTCCTTCCCCCTTCCCTTCCATTTCCTTCCTTCACTTTCTCCTCCGTTGTCTGGATTCCCTTTCTCTCGCGAAATTCAGCTTCCGCGCTCTTTTGCTTCGTAGCTGTCCAGCTAGCTGCGGCGGCGCTGCTCTCTCTCTCTCTCTCACTCTCACTCCGATCATCGTTCTCTGATCTCCTCCGCTCTCGATCAGCCAATCGCGGGAACCGTCGGGTGAGTTCTTCGTCCTTCTCCGTTTTCTTTTCTCCACTCTCATTGCGCAATTCTCTTCAATTTCGATTTGATTCACTGCATGCTCGAATCGATGCCTGTCTAATTCGGATGCCGGCGATAGCCGGAGGTTCATTTTTTTCGTTCGCGGCTGCGGGAATTCAAACTCCGGCCACCGCTCGAGCAGGGCGTCACGATTAGCTAATTATTTCTTTTTTTATTTTCGTTTATTATTTTTCCTGGAATTTAAATTTCTGTGCCATTTCCGCGAGTGGTAGAGTAGTAAAGTCCGCCGAGAAACCGTGCGAATAAAACGAAAAATCAGTTATGGTTCGTTCCTTGTTGTTTTTTCCTCCTAGGAGATCCTTTCCATGGAGGAGATTCACCACGCGTGTTCCCCGCGCGTGAGGATCCACCTCTGGTCTCAGCAGTGGAGGAGTTGGCTCCACGCGCACTCGTGCTAGTTTTGAGCTACTTATTACGTTATTTTCTCAGAAGTTAATTATATTTATTACTCGCTGAGCGGTTTTCACTTTCGAAACGGGAGTTACGACGACGATTTACTACCGTCGTCCACGTGTCGGCGGGGACGGGCCCATGAGTTGACTGGGCCTGTCATTTTTTCAGGCCCAACCGACACTGGGGGAGAGTGGAACAAGTAGTTAAAAGTCGTTTCGTTGGCGTTATAGTAAGAGATCCCGGGAGACCAGCTGCCTTTTCCCATTTCCTCAGTCTTGATCCAATGGCGGAGAACTGATGGAAATGGCCAGATGGGGAGGAGTTGAATGCCACGTGGACGGCAGAGATTCTGGTGGGTCCACCGACAAAGTGACCGTTTCGGTCAAATTAGCCAAGAAAAAAAAAGTAGGGTTGTTTTTTGTTGGGATGCTTTGCCTTTGATGAAGATGGTGATGGGAAAGACAAGAACCCAATTTGCAAAAACTTTTCTTTGCATAGAAACGGTTAATAAACGTAAGGCCCTCTTTTGATTTTACTTATGTGAATCGAAACTTAGCAATACAGTTGGTTAAATTCGTGTAATTTTTATGCGTTAAGATAACGGATTGAGTAACTTTGTTATCTCGATTAGTTGTTTAATCATTATCGTAGATTAACCGTAACAACATTATCAATAACAACAAGAAAAGAATGCATTTAATCAAAAGGTTGAATGAAATACGTATAAAATAATGTGCTTAAGGAGACTCATTTTGATGTTTAATAATGATTTAAGGGATGTACCAATATCATGTGGTTGTTTGTTTAATGGACTTGTAGACAATAGACAGCCATAAGTTTCGGTTTTGTTTTATTAATTAGTGATTGTTTTATTAGTACTGTTATTATATTAGTATAGGCAGCAGTTGCGGTTGGTTTATGTGTTCAATTACGATTAATTTATTGATTAATTTGGTGAGAACACGTAGAAATTTGGGCCGGATCAGCTAGCTGGGCAACACGAAGCCCGATTGAGAAAAAGTGTCACCACCTAAGACATGCATTGGCTGTCTTTTTTTAAATAATTAAATCTTCGAATCAAACCTAACTAAATATTATAGTAATCTGTGTCACCTTATAGTCACAAACTCAATTATCAATAATTCTTTTGTTCTTTTTAATAACAACAATATTGGTTAAACAATAATACGCCTTTCTCCCACGGTGTGCTGTTATTGGTGAGAAGGATCAGTAATTTAATCAAGTGTAAATCATCCACCAAGTTGGAAGCTCCCTGACATGAAAGTTTAAACCTTTTTTTTTCCTTCCTTTCTTTCATGGTTCGGTAACAAAATTGACATTTCCCCGTCGTCCATTGTGTCTGCTTGTGAGCAACACAGTCACCACCTTTAATATGTTGGGTTTTTTTTTCTTAACGATAATTTAGTGTCCGAATCAAGAAGGAGAAGAATAAACCACCCAAACACCCAACTAAAAAGTAATTTTCACGGGTTTGTCTTTTTGATCGCCGATTCATAATCCAATCCTGATGATGAGGATTAAAGGCTTTTCCAATATAACCTTTGTTGGTTAAGGATTATGTGGAAGTTTGTGTTGGAGAGGGACGTGGAAAGCTTTAAAAGTCTTCAACTTTTTTTTGGCGATGGTGTGCTGTTTGTCTTCCGTTTTGTTGCCGGTCCTAATTCATTAGTTTTCGATCTCTACTCCCCCACTTTACCTTCCTTCTGCCCTTTTTATCCTCTGTGAAAAAGAAAGTTCGTTTTGACAGTTATATGATGATAAGATAAGCTAGTGTTTGGTTTTGGATAAAGTGAACTAATTTTTTCGTGAAATTCTGTCACATCCTGTTTTTTTTCAAACTCTCGATTATTAATTTATTATCTAGTCTGATTATCAACAAGAAAGTATTAGTATACAGTAGTTTTAGAATGTTATCTAGGTGTAAAGAAGAGACAAATTAACCAAACAAATATGCTCTGTATATAGTTTCATTCAATTATTGCTGATTGATAATGTTTTGGAACATTTTGAAATACTAAGAACTGTAGCTTGCTCATAAATCACTGTCAATCTGAGTAGACTGATGGATTAAGACCCTACCACAATAACAAACAACCCTTGCACATAATTGGCCTTGCCTATGTTTCTGTAGCATACCCATTTGTTCTTGATGTTTAATTGATTTGATTCTTTCAGGCCAAAGCTGTCTTAGTCATACTGATACACACATATCTGTGTTTTCCTCCCTGTTCCCATCAACTGGTGTATGTTTTTAGTTTATGTGGAGTGGATCAGTAGTGGTGTGGATATTATATATTAGGGTCTGAAAGAAGCCATTTTTTTGAAAATGACCCTTCTCTTGTTTAACTGTCTATCTTCAGTACCAACTACTGTGTAAAGTTTATAAAACACTTGTTGGCCTGTTGCATGATTACATATAGTATAAAATGGATAGGGTGGGAGAAGGAAGGAAAACAGAGATTTGCCACAGGTTCTGCAGATTACCATATCTGCTGATATCTTTTCTCAACCTCGACTCACTGTGAACAGTGTTGGGGACAGAAACAGACAGAATGGATTAGATATAAACATGGGAAAACCAAAAGGAGATGTGTCTTTTCTTTTGGGATATGGCGATAAAGAACACAATAACATTATCCAAACTATATATATAGGATTTGTGTGTTGGGGGGAATGAATTTGGTTTAATTAGCAAATAATGGTGATGGTGGAAACCCCAGCCTGTTTATGCTTAATGAAAGTAATGATTATGATGCAATGAGCAGTGGGAATTGCGGGTTGGCTTCTTTTGTCGAATTTGTGCTCAGGCGGCGGCTAATAATTGGCATTTTTTTGGGTGGGATCCTTTTGTTTTTACAGATTTGTAAGGCAAAGAGCAAGGAGGCGGCAGCCGGCAGTATAGGAATTCCAATCCATATAAAACAACAAAAAAACAAGCCACTTGACAAAGTAAAATGTCCATTTCAGGTATGTGGTGGAACGAACTAAATATTCTCCAATAATGGTGGAAACAGTGGGTGATTTCGTCGTTGCTGTAGTAGCTGACCTGTTCTTTTTTATGTAATGTGTTGCTGGGAAATGTAGGTACGTTGAAGAGGAACATCTCCAGGATTAACCAAGCAATGGGGCTTCAGCAGCGATCGTCTTCTAACAACAAACCACCGAAACCGGGGCAGCATGGCAACAACAACAGCAGCAGCGATCCGCACCCTGTAAATACGAAAACCGCACCGATTTCTGACCATGTTAGGGTCAAGAGTACTGAAGATGTACAATATAAGTCATGGGTGGTAAGTGTTGCTTTTTTCTTCTTCCTTTTTTGTTCACTTTGCCTTGTCCTAAACTGAACTGCAAGTCGAGAAGTTGAATATGCTGATCGCGAACGAACTTCCAGGGGGAGCACCCGTCAGCATTGCACTCGTTTGATCAGATGATGAAGGTGGCAAAAGGGAAGAAGATCGTCGTGTTTTTAGATTACGACGGAACTCTCTCCCCTATTGTAGATGACCCTAACTCCGCCTTCATGTCCGACGAGGTAAGTGGAATAAAATGGCTCAGCATATTATCTGCTGGAATAAGTAAACTTCTGCATGTAAGCACATCCAAATCAATTCTAAATCTTTTTGTTTCTAATCTAGATGCGTGCAGCTGTACGTGAGGTTGCTAAATGCTTTCCAACTGCTATAATCAGTGGTAGGAGTAGGGAAAAGGTAGTAAAATTGTCTGACCCTTTGTACCTTTTGGCTCTTGTTATGAACTGCTGCTTTTTACTTCATGAATTGAAGTCCTGAAGATATACTGCTATTCACTTTGCTCCTTTTGAAGGTCAAGGAGTTTGTACAGTTGAGTAATGTATATTATGCTGGGAGCCATGGGATGGATATCATGGCACCTCCAAGGCCAGTTAAGTCTTGCGAAGGCAATACCCCAACTGTGGTAATGGACAAGAAGGGAACTGAAGTGCTCTTTCAACCTGCAAAGAGTTTTTTGCCTGCAATTCAGAAGGTAGTAATAAAAAGCTAAAATTAGGTTACAAAAGTTCTTGAAAATGGTTTCAAAACTGCTCCGAAACTAACTATATATCTTCACTGAAATTTTCTGCAGATATTGACTGAACTAGAGGAGGAAACAGCAAAGATAAAAGGGGCCATGGTGGAGGATAATCGGTTTTGTGTCTCTGTACATTTTCGGCACGTCAAGGATGAGGTAAAACACCATCACCTACTAGTTAAGAAGCTTAGTGTCCAAAAGCAAAATAGCAGCCTAATAAATTCCAAGGTTTGGTTGTTGGACTTCAGGATTATCAGATCCTGGAGGAGAAAGTCAGGTCCGTGCTGGAGAATTATGCAGGGTTTCACCTGTGCTGGGGTAAAAAGGTAATTAGCAAAACTCTCTCTATTGAGCTAAAGATGTTACTGACCACAAAAGGATCATACTTCTAATGCAGATGCTTCTACACTTTCTATGCACAGGTTATGGAGATACGACCGACGATAGAGTGGGACAAAGGCCATGCTGTGGAGTATTTCCTAGAGACTTTAGGGCTAAGTAACTCCGATGTACTTCCAGTCTACATCGGCGAGGACCGGACAGATGAAGATGCTTTCAAGGTATTAATCAATCAAAGTCATTAGAATCTCCAGAACAGAAGAGGTTAACAACCTATACTGTAACTACGCGAATCAGTTGCTAATTGGCTTGTCTTAAAAACTACCGCAGGTAATACAACGAAGAGGACAAGGATACCCTATCATCGTAACTTCCATCCCTAAGGACACGAAAGCATCCTACTCCCTAATCGACCCATCCGAAGTTCTGACTTTCCTGCTACGCCTAGCGAGGTGGAGGAAATCCTCGAGTTCAAGTAGATCGCTCAACCAAATCTGGGGTGTAGTCAACTGACACCAAGCAATATAGGCAACAAACAGTCATAGTGGAGATAAAGCTCATACATAGAAAGCAGTAGATAAGCAATCAATCCGAGTTCGGGAACTAAAAGTAACTAGAGAAGTTCCAGCTTGTAGTTTTAGCAAGAAGTCACAGCTGGAACACAGTTTTCAATTCCAGTCCTTCAAATCTCGCCCAGTGTTTTTTTTGGCTGGTGGCTGGGTTTGAATTTGACTGTGGAAGACTCTGAACTCTGTTTTCCTTTTCCTCTAATTTCCGTTTTTTAATGAATCAAGAACTTTGTGGACTTTGAGAAAAACCCTTGTTTTCAACCTTGGTTGTAAAGTTCCATGTTATCAAATCGTTTTCTCATGATAAGCAAGCTGTTTTGGTTTCCTTTACGATTCAATGCAATGCTATACTACTCTTCTCATATATAGAACAGATGGAAATTCAAAGCAAGCAACATCAATGGATCAAATTCAGTTTGCAGGGAGAATCGGATTACCTTTTCAGTTCCTTGTTATTCCACAACTCCTCCATCCCAAGTTCCCGAATACTCACAATTCTTCAACAGAAAAATGAACTGCTAGAGCTTGCAGTTCCGATCTGCATGCTGGTAACAGCGGAAAAACCATCCTCACTTGGCGTTTGGCCGCTGGGAAAATGCTTGAAAACGCCAGAAGAGTAAACACCAATCAGTCCCGAAAGCAAGAACAATCGGTCGGATCAAGAGGATTTCCATCTCTTCCGATCAACTGAAGTCCAGCTTCGCCGGCGAACGGGAGCAGCAGCCAGTAGGAAAAGCTTGAGAGGGATGAGCTAGCGGTTTACATTAAGGACGAGCAATGGATAAGGCCGGCCGGCCGTAGCTCTCGGCTTTCGGCCACGTAGATGGCCGTCGAAGCCCACCGGCCCATCAGGCTAAATGGGCCAAAAAGAAGATGATCTCTGTCCCGGATCCATGGCCCAACTTCACATTGCAAATTTGTGATTTTTGTATGAAAATATACCCCAAACCAAGTAGCATCATAATTCATAAAGGGTGAGCAACAATTTCGTTCATAAACTCGGATTGAGATATAATGACTCGTTGACGTTGATACTAGAATTAGGTACTTGTAGCTCCATTTGCAACTCTTTTCTTTTCCGTCGGGCTTCATCAGGGGGAAAATGGTCTCCTTTCTCAGCGACTCAATGCTTCTTCCTTCTCCTCCTATCAAGAAATTTCGTGCTTGACGGATTTATAACTTATTAAGCTGATATTCGATATGAGATAGCTCGTTCTCTAATTTTCTCTGGTTCCTATTTTGTGTGTCGAAGGGGTTCGCTTGACTGGTCAATAGTGAAATAGGATGTTTCCCGTGAATATCCTTATTGGAGAGTCTAACGATCGCACCATCGAATAATTGAAGATATATTGGTTTCTTTCCAACCAATTCAAGCTCTAACTACTCAACTTTGCATTGGCATCAATATGTATATGTATATGAGTCATCAAGCCATAAGAATTATGTCACCCTACTAGATATTTATAGATCTGTACTGAGCACCTAAGGGGGGAATGGGGATTGCACCACTTAACCACTACAATCATCATCATGTGTATTATAAAAAAATTCAATACAAAAAAACACGACATTAACAACTAATTAGTGGGATGCATCCATCCATGGCATTACATTTTACTATTTTTCAGTGTCTTGTACAATGTTCTTTTTCATTTGTATATTCTCATTAGGGCTGGCTATTTGGACCGGGACCGGATGAAAAACCGGAAACCGGACCGTATAACCCGGACCGAGACCGGACCGGAACCGGATAGTAAACAATCCAATCCAATCTTTGGGCTTAGATTTGAGGTAAAAAACCGGATAAGAGAGCTCAACACCCAAAATTTAAGGGTAATTTGCATAAACGGTCACAAACCTTTGCACTTAGTACAAAACTTAACCAACTCATCACCCTTGTAGGCCTTAGGCCACTCAAATTCCCACAATCTCAATATAAAATCAAGACCGAATTGGGACCGGACCGGGTCAAGACCGGACCGGATCCAATCCAATCTTCGGTCCTTATATTTTCAAAAAACCCGGACTGGACCGGATCAATTTGGGCCAATTTAACCGGACCGGACCGTATAGCCACCCCTAATTCTCATTCTAACGCGGTTTCTACTAATAAAACAATAGTTCAGCCTAAAAATTGATTGATTTGATTTTGATGTGTTTGTGTGTGTGTGATTATTCATACTAGAGAAGTAAAGAACCCACTAAGTATTATGTTGTTTCTTTTGGTTTAGGGTTTAAGAAAGGTCAAAATCCCCTCTCTCTCTCAATTGGGGGTTGCTGATTCGTCCATCAGAGATTTTGGGGGAAAGCTATAGTGCCCTTCAAATCCAATCAATTTGGAGGAGGCGACGCTTTGCCACAAATGTTGAGACACGTATTACAACCACAATTTGGCCTTTTATTGTTTCTTCATCATTGTTGGCTTAATTCTCCTTCTTTTCTTTTTTACCTTTTTAATTTATCCAAAACAAAATGCTTGATTTGATGATTCAATAATGAGGGTGGTTAAGATTGTTTCACTTTCATGATATTGTGCGATTCATTGGTCTAGAGAGATAGATTGATCAGCCAATCAGTGAGAGGCACACTGGGTGATGAGTTAATTTTCCCAATTTCTAATAAAGAAGGAAGAGGTAATTAATGTGTAAGATTATGATCAATTGTATTACATAAGCCTTCTATGACCTTTTTTTTAATTTATGTTAACTTGATAGCAGACAACTTTGCATGAAGTGCACAAGGACGATAAGGTAAGTATATGAAACGTAAAAATTACACTCTCATTGCACACAACTTCAACACCAGTGATAGTACCACTAGACCAAGCCCCTTATTCGCATAAATTACACTCTCCTTGCTCCTCTCATTTTACTATACTCACATTTCTAATATCGTCAAACTAATTAATCATTTTGCAATGGAACACTCGTTTCATTGTTACCCCTATCCATAATTAAGTTTTTTTTTATACACTATCGACCGGAGAATGCCTCACTCGTATTCGTCCCTAAAATGTCGAAATCACAAAACCAACAACACTACTGCTAGACCAAACCTTCCCTTACCATACTCCGAAACTTCTCTCTTTGGGGTCGTTTGGTAAGCACGTAATGTAGAATTTATGTATTTGAAGAATTCATGTATATTGTAGGTTGAGTTGTGAGAACTTGTGTAATATTAGAATGCATTGTTTGGCTTGCATGAGTTCATGGTAGAACCCGCATAATTTGGCATGAAATCTCAAATACTTTGGGTAAACCCAAAGCATTTGAGATATCATGGTCACATGAATTCTAGAATTACATGGTGTACCAATATCATGATATCTGTCCAAAAATAAAACAAGAAAACACTGGAATCTCAGATATCATGTAATCTTGAAATCCGTGGGTAGATTACATGCTTACCAAACCACCCTTTAATGAGAGGAGAGCCAAAGCTCAAAAGGTGGTTCTATCTTTAATTTCATGGGTAGTGGTGGCCACTACCACTTCCTTTTTCAGTTTGGTTAGAAATAACAAAATGGATTCTTTGCCCTACAAAACAAACCTCCCTCCAGGCTCCAGTGCGTTAACCATGGGAGTTGGGGACTTGGATTGAAGCAAAGGAAGACAAGTGTCGTCTGGGATTCCACCCTTTTCCTATCTCGTTCCTCATTGGTCGAAGAACAGAAAATTGCAGAAAGGCCATTTATCTGTGCAGCCATTGGTTGAATTTGGTCTGCTCTTTCCCAGGCCCTCTTTCTGCTCTCTGGTCTAATATGCTTATGCAGATTGCACTGACCAGACTGGAGTGAATGCTGTTGCAGCAGCAGCAGAAGAAGGATATGACAAAAGTAAAGTTAAAAAAAAAGGAGAGAGAGATAAAAAGCAAAGGCATAAAGGAATAGAGAGGATAGGACCCATCTGACTGCAATCTAAAGTTTTGCTGCTTTCAACTCCCCCCATTTCAGGCCCCTACAGTAACATTTACCAAGAAGCAAAACCCAAATCGATACTAACTTCTTCAATGCTGCTAATATGTTAGGGCTCATTTGGTAGCTCGTGCAATTAACCAGCTCGTCGCAACGATTCGAATGATTGATTGAGAGATAATTCATGTATTGATTTTGATCACTTCCTTACGGGTTGGGACTGTTCTATTGATAGAAATTCGTAACTCATGAGTAGAGTGTTTATCATGCTTTTGGGCGTAAAAAAAAGAGGTAATCAATTTGTTTAGAGTGAAGTTATCGAGTCTGTATTTCATGTTAAGAAAAAATACAACAAAACAAAGGCAAACATACTTATGAAAATTCTTATGTGCACTCACAAAACGGAGTGCACCCAATTCTCAAAGTAACATTAATACATCAAATTTTAAATTAAAATTTGTTGCATTAGGCTAAAATGATGATATAACAATAGTCAATGCATTACCCTACGCCATAAGCCTTCAATTTTTAATTCTAACCTACCTCAAACGGTAAACCCTAAACCCACCCAGCGGCGGATCTAGGGGGGGTCGCCCCCGGGCCGCGGCCCAGCCCTCCCTCGATCCAGAGCTAGTATAGCACTTGTAAATTTTTTATTTTTGGTGTTCGTTTAGGTGTTCGTTCTAGTGTTTGTCGTGTTACGGCCCAGCCTTCTCTGCTTTTTTCCAATGTGGCCCAGTGCTCTACCCAATCCTGGATCCGCCGTTGAACCCACCCTAAATTACTAAACACCAAATCCTTCAAATCAAAGCAAATAATGAATGAACTTTGTGTAAATTCATGTATTTTCTTGTCCATTGTATAATAAGTGACGGTTGACATCATCTTGATATGAGTCACCTTCTCAGAATAACAATTATTAGACGAATGCATTCAATGCACTAAAAAATAATGAGTTCATCGAAGACAAAACGCTATATAATTTAACTAATTCATCAACATTACTAATTTTTTTAGTAAAATTATTTTGAGTTACCAATTCATGTGTGCATGTACTGACCTGTATCGTCGTTTTACAACCATCCCTCAAAGAAACGACTCACTAGTGTCCAAGAAACCCTCCCAAAGGAAAGGCCACTCATTCATTTCTCTCTTCCATTTAAGATTAAAGAACACACTTATTGAAGATTGTCACCATTGTATCCTTTTTGTAGAGACCGAAGAGACAACAAAATGGACAAAAAAAAAAAAAAGCAAAGGCCAAGCACGTAACACGTTAGTTTAGGACAACATGAGGGTCACACATTAGCTAGGGTTTGGTGGCATACAAACAAAGGGGAGAGATAAATGTAGTCTTCTGTTGCTCCAGAAAAAATGTCAGTGGTCACACATTTCTTTGCCTAATTAGTGAACTCTCAAACCCAAAGCTTATCCATTTTTTTTTTTTTAATGAATAAAGCTTATCCAAATTGTAGAGAATGATACAAATAAAAACCCAAGAAATCTTATCGCAGTTGGATACAATTAGTTATTTGCCCCTTCTGCTATTTGCTAGTTTAGGCCAAGCAAGGCAGCTTTAACCCATGATATGAGATTGATTTTACTCGTATCCCTTCCTAGCACACTTGGCGGGTTTCATATTAGTATACGAATCGTATAATACGATTCATTCTTTGAGTTCGTTTTTTAATTTGGATTGGTTCTTAATATGTATACGAATCGTATAATTCAAGAAATCTTATTACTAAAATTCAATTTTTTTGGTTCCTAATCAACAAAGGAAAAGGCAATACAAATTGTGGCTCATTTTTTATTTCATATGATTCTACAATTTATGTAGTTTGCATGTACAAAACAT